ACAAGCTGATATTCAGGAAAGCCCTCTTGCTTGTGTGATAAATATATAAATAATAATAATAATAATACCAACTCATTAAAGTTTTTTTTTCCCCTTTCGTAACTTGAATTATAAGGGCATTCTAACTGCATTCTAAAATAATTCATCATGCCGTGAATGCTCTTCAACTCTCAAGACGTGTTTTTGATAGTTGTTTTACAAAGGCAGTGACACACTCAGCTGTCAGTAGGCCCGGTCTCTAAGCTGGTCTCTCCGTCCCTCACAGTCACACATACAGCGCAATAACATTATGCCAGGGGTATGTCTTTAAACTCTAATCAATATCATATATTCTGTTGTCTTCTTTTTGAGAACATCCAAAATGTCAGCTTGAACAATTTTGCACGAAAAATGGGGAAAACTTGTCTGAGCTTGTGCGGAGCTACTGAGTTCTGATTGGCCAATCACTATTATTATGTTCATAACTTATCATACGTAGAGAATTGTAATATTTAATTTGCATGATAAGTTTTAATAATAAACAACATTATTAATCTAAAGGGGGATGGTAAGGGGGTGGTGGTTTTACAAAGGGGATGCTTTTAGTCATTTTTTATAACAAGGGGGATGCCACACACCCCTCCCCTCACTTCCAGCCCTGGATATAAAGTCTAAATAGCAGTTAAAGCTATTATAAGACAGATGTAAACAAATAAATGGGTAAGCCAAGCTATGAGAAAGACAAACACATAACTGATAGCAGATGATGTCTCTTTTAGCCCCCACGGTCAGTATGCAGTGAGAGCTGCCCCCCAAGAACCAGACGAGCCACGAGAAAGGGCCTTCCTATCTGCTGTTTTGACTAATTGCCTTGTGGAGATGGAGATATTTCTAATACAACAGGTCAGGAAATTATTGTTGGCAAAATTTGAATATAATTTTATAGTAATTTCCTCTTCAAAATCTCACCTTCTGTCTTTTTCTTACTCAAAGATGCTATTGAATGCACAACGTGTCCAGATGAGTTCTGGTCCAATCCAGATAAGGATCAGTGTGTCCCCAAAGAAGTAGAGTTTCTATCCTATGAGGATCCTCAAGGCATCTTTCTTACCACTGCTTCCCCTGCTTGGCAACTTCATCTGTGTTCTTGTGATGATCGTCTTTGCTCTTCACCATAACACTCCCATAGTATGTGCAAACAATTCAGAGCTCAGCTTCCTGCTGCTGGTGTCACTCAAACTGTGTTTCATATGTGTGCTACTTTTCATTGGCCAGCCACAGCTGTGAACATGTCAGTTAAGACATACTGTGTTTGGCATAAGCTTTGTCCTGTGCATCTCCAGCATCCTGGTAAAGACTATGGTGGTGATAGCCGTGTTCAAGTCAGCTCAACCAGAGGGCAAAGGAGCAATGAAATGGCTTGGAGCAGCTCAACAAAGATGCACAGTTCTGGTTCTAACAGCCCTCCAGGTTGTGATATGTGCAGTCTGGCTATCAACTGCCTCTCCAACACCCCATAAAAACAACCAGTATACTAGCTCTAAACTAGTATATGAATGTGCTATTGGTTCAGTGGCTGCTTTTTCTTTGCTGGCATACATTGGACTGTTGGCAGCAGTAAGCTTCCTGTTAGCGTTCCTTTCGAGAAATCGTCCAGATAATTTTAATGAACCCAAGTTCATCACTTTCAGCATGTTGATCTTCTGTTCTGTGTGGATTGCATTTGTTCCAGCATACGTATGTAAGCTCACCTGGGAAATATGCAGTTGCTGTGGAGATATTTGCCATCCTGGCTTCAAGTTTTGGATTATTGGTGGCAATATGTGCCCCAAAGTGCTACATCATCCTTTTACATCCAGAGAAAAACACTAAAAAAGCCATCATGGGAAGACAAACACAAAATAAATAGTTTTACATTACCGTGGTCAACTATCTACATACATATTGGTGACATTTTGATTTGTATTATATTTTGATATATTGTTACAATTACAGTGCTGCTTGAAAGTTTGTGAACCCTTTAGAATTTTCTATATTTTATTTATTTAACAGGGACAATACACTAGGCATTGTTACACACAGACAACCGATGCAGTGTACATAGGACATATAGCATAAAGCTAGTTTGCAGCCCTCGTCCCTGGTTAGGCTTTTACATAAAATCAAAACAACCAAAAACAAGCACAATCATCACAAGAAACAAACCGACTACAAATAAACATATATATATGTACAACATATACACACACAGTTATCTGTATGTGTATATGTACAACTGTGTGTGTATATGTTGTACATAAAGTCACAAACATAAAATGTAAATTAACCTGCATACAGAAAGAAAATGTAAACTAAACCAGCCTGAATAAGCCTTAGGTACGTACTCAATGTTCACATCGCTGTAAAGATTTCAGCCATTGTTTCAGCTTTGTAGAGAAAACTGTGAGTTGTGATTGCAACTTTAAATCAACAGGCATGGTATTCCATAGATGTGAACCTTTCACTGAAAAGGATGATTGACCCACAGTAGTTCTGCATCTCCGAACTCTACAATTTCCACCTACTGCCCCTCTGGTCTTTGCCCCATCACTACTGAGTTTTTGTATCAACTGACAGACTACATCGGGGGCAAGGCCAGGTATACACTGAAATACTGTTTTTATAAATTAAAACTTTAAAAGATTATAAAAACTTAACACATTATACTTTTGAAGAATTTGACAATGATGCCATTTCATTGGTTTTTGATCCATTACTTTTAAGGTTTGTTTGTATAGTGACATTACAGGCTTAACAGCTTGACCCCAATTTATCACACAATAGGTCATATGTGATAATATCATAGCATGCATAAACACTGAACTGCTTTAAGAGATATACATGGTCTTATCATACAAAAACAGTTCAAATGTGTCTTAATAGTCTTAGACATTTTCTTAATATGGGCATCAAACTTAAGCTTTGAGTCTACTATAACACCTAAATATTTAAATTCACTCACTTCCTTGATTTCTTTTTGGTCAATTTTGATTTTAAATACATCCAGTGCTTTGTTCTTTCATGAAAAACACATTGAAACGGTTTGGTTGTAATTTAAAGTTAAACAGTTATCCTGCAACCACTGGGAAACACAGACCAGTTGCCTGGTGAACATTTCTGGAGATGGTCCTCCCTGCAAAACACAAGATCCAGGTGGCGTGGTTGGATCCAGATTCAACTCCTCCCACCTTGCATATACCTAAACCTACCCGTCTCCACCCCCTGATCCCTAAACCCACCCATTTCCACCCCCTAGATGTGGATCCAACCACGCCCCCTGGATCTTGTGTTCTGCAGTGACGGGCTACTGCATTTCTGCAGCCAAATGAGAAGTTTCTGCTGTTACATAAATAATTGTGTCATCTGCATACATTTGACAACCAACCTCCTTGCAACTTTCAGGTAAATCATTTATATACAAACAGAAGAGCAATGGACCTAATATTGAACCTTGTGGAACACCTAGTTTGCATTTTTGAAGTGATGACTTCACACCATTAATTTTAACACATTGCTGTCTACAATCCAGGTATGATTTTAACCAGTTTAGAGCTTGTTGAGAAAAGTTCATTTGTTTCAATTTATTTATGAGTACTTCATGATTCACAGTATCAAAAGCCTTTTTAAAGTCTAAAAATACTGCTCCCACTACTTTTCCTGGATCCAAACTACTTTTTATGTTTTCTATAAAATGATATATAGCCATTTCTGTTGAATACTTTGGCCGAAATCCAAATTGCTTAGGTTTCAGCAGATGATTTATTTCCAAATAATTCATTAATTGTTCAACCACTAACTTTTCTAAAACTTTGGAAATTACTGGAACAATTGAGATGGGTCTATAATTACACACCTCATCAGTCTCCCCAGACTTAAAAACGGGGGTCACCACAGCTGTTTTAAAATTTTGTGGAAACTCGCCAGTTTTAATAGATAAATTTACCAAATGAGCTATTGGGCTTACCAACGTTGCATATGCTTTTTAATAAAAGAAGCATCTAAACCAAATATATCTTTAGCTTTTGAACTGTTTAATAGATTAATAATTTTACCGATTTTATCTTTGTCGACCTGTGAAATATAAAAAAATTATGAATTTCTTACTACATCATCTGATAAACAAACAGAATTGAAATCTGTTTTGCGAGTTCTTCTACTGATTTAACAAAAAAAGTATCAAATTAATTTGCAATTTCCAAAGCATCAGTGCTAACCTTTCCATTTATATTCAGCTTTAATATGCTTTTACTTTGATTACATTTCTGATTGGTTAATTTATTCATATAAGTTTCCAAATAAGTGAGCTATTGCCCTGAGATTCAGCAAAAAACTGCATGAAATAAGATAACTCTGCTTTTCTAAGTTCACTAACCACTTTATTTCTTAAGCCTTTAAAGATCAATATATCTGTTTGTTGTTTTGTATAGATTTTTTTTCAATGCCAGATCCCTCTTTTTCATTAGCTGATGAATATCATTATTTATCCAACGCAAAAAAAAAATTTCTCCTATTACTTTTAAAGGAGCATGTAAACTTCTGGATTGTATTTGCAAGTGTGTCCATCAAAAAATCGCAGCATTCATTTAGATTATCAATTTGAAACATACTCTCCCAATTTATATGTATAACTCATTTTCAAACTGAAACATTTTCTGCTTGGGAATTCCAATTTGTGAATTATTAACTCTGGATAAAAAAAAACGGCTTTGAAATTGTTGTTATGTAAATTTTCTGACAATCAAAGTCAAGTTATGATCAGACAGGCCTGGGGCAAGTTCAAGCTCAAACCGGTGTGTACCGTTTTGCTACGGTTTCCGGTTTGAATGACATGTTTCCTGGAAATGGTGTGCAACGGGGTTTGAGATACATTTTCTCTTGTTTGGTGGGCGTGTCAAACATGTCAGCCCAATCAGCAGCAACATGTATATAAACCACGCGGTATTAAAGAGAGCGCTCTCACAATGGATCTAAGTAAAGTCATTTACAAATGTGTTCGCTGCAGCTCGGTATACACAACTTGAAGTTGTTGAAGATATTAGAGGACATGTTTGTCGTAAGAGTTTTATAGTAAAAATATAGCATATCAACATGATGATGTAGTTGTTTATATTTTTAGCTTCATTGTAAGGCAAGTTTATTTATATACCAAATTTCATACACAATGGTAATTAAGTGCTTTACATAAAAATGAGAAAGAAAATACAAGGTATTAAAAAAGTAAGAACTAGAAATAAAAGTAAGAAATAGAAATTAGTCAGTAGTATGTGAAGCTAAATAGATGTGTTTTCAGTCTGAATTTGGTAAGATGTGTGCTTCCATTTCTGTTTCAGCAATCCCTTTGGAACAGGCTAGTGCATCGAATGGGCCTAGTCAACTTCCACTAGGCCTACACATTCCCGCTGCACCACTGCATTTGCCTCCGGCTCCTGCACTACAGAAGTTAGCTCCTGCACCACTTAATTTGCCTCCGGCTCCTGCACCACAGAAGTTGGCTCCTGCACCACTTAATTTGTCTGTTGCTGGACCATCACCTGCCTGTGCTCCAAAGTGGGCACCATTCTCAACCCCCCAACAAATGCATAAAGGTACATTAAATTCGTTCTTAGCACAATTTTCCCGTTGATATATTTTCTGTGACTTATCTATTTAAATGTGTACTGTAGATACAAAGCCATGGATGCACAATGCAACATTACTTCTAATTTCTCTGACAAAGCAAATGGCTGAAGGCTTTCAATCTCCTGTATTAAAGAAAGTAGAAATGTGGAAAAAGGTAGATGCACAAATGCTGGCAAAAGGATATGACTTTGGAGCAGAGGCATGTGACAATAAGTTCAGGCAGTTAAAGCACAGGTTTGTTTTGATACTGGCATTTGAATTATTTTGGGAGTAGGGCCACTTGAAGACATTTGCTATTTCTGGGTTTCTATTATTAGATACAAAACAATAGTGGACAGTAAAAAGAAGACTGGGAGTGGTACCAGCAGCTGGGTCTTTTTCTCATCAATGGAGGACCTCCTGGCTGATGATCCCAGTGTGGAGCCGGTCCTGATCGTGTCATCTTTTGCTGGTGATAATCTTTTCCATGTAAATTTTTTTTTGTACCACATCAACATGCAGTAGCACATCAGATGAGTTGAGTGCAGTTTAATCAAAGAAAATGTTATATTCATGTTTTTATAAAAATTGTGTACATTATTGGATCTTATTTGTAAGTTTTAATTCAATCACTCAGTGATGTCATGAAAACGGCTCACATTAGCATCCATGATGGATACAAAGTAGCTCCAATGTTGTCATCTACTTTTACTGTGTAACTTGGTAGTGTTGCTAACAACTTTATTTGAAGGATGTCTATTGTGTGGCTCAGGTAATTAGAAGCTTGGTTAACCAGATGTTTAAAGTAGCTTTGTTGGCACATGGCTCTAAATTACAATAGATGCAGACATGCAGACAAAGTCCATGTGAGAACCCAAAATGTACTTGTCGGAGGAAAGTGATGTTGCTGCCTTGATCATTACCATTTTGAGGCCACCTAGATTAATCTTTCTTTCCACTCAGGATCTTCATCAGATCCAGTTGGCCCAGGACCATCAACTTCACAATCATCAACTTCACAACCATCATCTTCACAACCATCATCTTCACAACCTAAGCCATCAGCAGAACATGGCAAAAAGAGAAGGCGCATGTCTGAAGCATCCGAGTGGTTTGATCAGTATGTCACTGAGCAGAGGAGGCAGATGTCAGAACTCATGGCCCTGCAAAAGCAAGCAGTAGAAGTGGCAAGCGAACGTAACAACATCTTAAAATAATTTGTTTCTGCTTTTCTGCAAGAGGAAATTGTGTAGAACACATGCAGCTGTTATAACCACTGGTACTTTTTAAGGTCTTCCATGATCAAATAATTCAGTCGTCTCCATTTCCCCTTTAGAAGGCCAAATGCCCTTTCAATCACAACTCTGGTTGAGCTGTGGAGTGTGTTAAATTTTTTTTGCCTTCATGATAAGTGCCCATTATCTCAGTATGGTGTAATGAGAGATGTGCTGAGTGGGTATGCGGAGTCTCCAAGCAGGTGGTAGTCACTTCTTATTACATCCTGGAGATGGCCATATAATGGGCAGTTCTGAAACACCCTAGCATCGTGCACAGACCCCGGCCAACCAGTGTACACATCCAGGAACATCATCTGTGATGTACACACTGCTTGGTGTTGAATACTTGCATGTCCTTTCCTGTTTATGTAACTGTTTCTATGGAGTGTGGGTGCTGGGATGGCAATGTGTGTGCCATTGATTGCTCCAATGACTCCAGGGAAGCCAGTTTTTTCCTGAAAGCCATTTGCCAGGTTTGCAAACTCATCCTCTCTGGGCCATAGAATGTATTCATTTCTCAGTGTACAAATGACCTTGCAAATGTCGGAAAAAATATAATGAAGGGTTCCTTTTGACATATAAAACCGGTCTGCAATACCCCTGAAGCTCTCTTGGTTTGCCAACAACCAAATAGTTTATACTAAATCATTTTCGGGGTGTCCAAGGTTAGGTTTGCCAGTAAAGGACCAACTTTCTCACAGAGAGCCTGTAGACATTTATAGTAGAAGTTTCTACATCCCTATGATGCTGTAAATAAGCTGACACAAATCTTGCTATGGCTGTTGTATACACACTGATGCACATACTGCTATATACAATTGGGAATTTGTAAGTAAATGTAATTGACATCAAAATAAATGCACAAGAGAAAGTATGTTGTTTGCACATGTTTATTTACATTAAAGGCAAAATAACTGAAATAATAAGAGCACAAGTATAGATCTGGAATTTCTTTAAGTCTGTCTAAATATAATTTAGTAATCGCAATGTCTTCTGGTCCATATCCTTTCCTTAGGAAGGTGTGCAAGACACTGATTAATGTAACAAAAATACTATACATATTTATATTATTTGCTATGGTATTGTGGAGTGACACTTTCATAAACTTTTCTATACTCCTCCGATTATATAAATATTACAATAACACAGCACAACAACAGTGATCAGCAATAATGATAAGCCTAATACTCACAATAAAAATAATAAGGTCATATAGATCATAACACAGTCTTGGAGGTAAGAAGCGGACTATCCTTCACCTGAAATGTTTGTCTTTTCATCCTGAAATGTGAGGCAAATGTTGGATTACAATAATTAGGAACCACAGTTTCCACAAATCCCTTCACTCGACTGAGATGTTCTCTTTGATTCAGGACGGCAAAGGCAGTCACTGTAACATAGAGCGTATTTTGCAGTATTAAACACGTATTCATAGCGATTTCATCAGGCACCGAAAATTCTTCAAAAAGAACATAAAGAACTCCACAAATCCCTTCACTCGACTGAGATGTTCTCTTTGATTCAGGACGGCAAGGGCAGTCACTGTAACATAGAGCGTATTATCCATTTTAGTAACTTGCGCTGGTTTATTTGTAAAAATTAAACCTATCAGTGTTTTACTAGTTTGAATGATTCTTGTAGGGCTCGTTATCATTTGATGCAATTTATATTTAGATGCAAGCCATAGTTGCAACTCTTGCGTCATCAGAACAGGGTGTTCAACACTGTTTCCATTTAAAAAACGTTTTGCGCTGTTTTTGTCTGGGCTGAACGCAGCCCTGTTAACAAATTATCCATTTTAGTAACTTGCGCTGGTTTATTTGTAAAAATGAAACCTATCAGTGTTTTACTAGTTTGAATGATTCTTGTAGGGCTCGTTATCATTTGATGCAATTTATATTTAGATGCAATAATTTTAAGTTTTTTTTCTTACTGTTATTCAAATAATTTATATTAAAATCTCCCAGTAAAATTGTTTCAGTATGACAATTAAACAATTTAAACAGTTGATCAAAATCATGGTAAAACGAAGAATTATGAGAAGGAGGGTTATATAACACCATAATATTAAAATTAATTCTCGCTGATAATACAACATTTAAAATGAAACATTCTAACCAAAAAGTCTCCAATCACAGAACATTTAAAAATATCTCTGATATAAACCAGTACCCCACCTCCTTTACCATACAATCTATCTTTCCTGTAACATGTATAACCAGGGACATCAATCATATTTGTAGAAATATTAGTGTTTAACCGAGTTTCACTCAGTGCTAAGAAGTCCAAATTCGACTCACTCAATAATTGTTGAACTTCTTATTTGTTTTTTGATAAAACACTACGTATATTAAGATAACCTCCAAAAATACCTTTTGGCTTTGACTTTAAGTCCCAGATCACTTTTGCATGATACACAGTTTGAAAGTATTGCAATTATTTTTGCTTACATGCTGCATAACCAAAAAGTCCTTTACCAACATGTTGTTTTGATGACTTCACTAAAACTCTAGCAAATTAGCAAATTCTTCCACTTTTGGCAAATTGTTTATATGTGCTCGATCAATGTGGAGAGCAGAGATTAGGGCTAGTTTTTGTGAGCCATTTCCCATGATTTCCTGTAAAGATACCACCAAAAGATCACTGTTCACTTCTGCTGTTCAAGCAATGACTGAGTTCTGATTAAACTCCATGAAGGAGCCACTGTCCTGTGGAAGGCCTGTAGAAGGCCTCACCACCTCAACACCATGTGTGTCCATCAGTTCCCACTGCAGACATCCTTCAGACTGCATATCAACAGACAAACCCAACTGGATGTTAGTTGAAGGACCTGGGTTTAGCTGTATATCACCACTTAGCAAGAGTGAAAATAACAGAACTTTCAGAGCATGTCCTTCCCTTCTGCCTTTTATACGTTGTTTAACCTTGTTTGTAGTGTAAAGTTCTTGGTCACATTGCCAACAACTTAAATAGACAACATGATATCCATGCTCATAAAAGTTCAGTGTTGATATACTAGTCATAGGTGAAGCATGGACAGGGATACTTGATGTTTAATCTTCAGTCGGGCTCAAGCAATGAGCAAAGGGGAAACAAAGAAACCACATACAGAGTAGCCATATGAAGACATACCTTTTATTTCTGAAGTTGGTGTTTCACTTTGGTCTTGATTTTGTTGATAGAATCTGTCCTTTAGGTTGAAATGTTCCACATGAAAAAATACTATAGTAATTTATAGCAAATACTATAGCGTTTTTGAACCATGCTACAGGAAAGTACTTGAATTAATTTGTTGTGGTAATTCTATAGTTTCTGTGGTAATATAACAACTATAGTAATATAAACAAATTACTTTACCCAATAATGTACTAAGTTTTCTACAACTATAGGGTATATTATACTACAATACACTACAGTTCCCCTTCAGAAACTCGAGCTGCGTCGAGATCGCTTTGGGAACGCCCCTGCGTGACCGCGTTCTGAAGCACGTGTAAAATCAGTCCAATGGAGCAGCGAGATGTCAGGAGCGAGGTGACGTGAGCGCCAGGAAGTATAAAAGCGCATCCGGCAGAGCGCAAGTTAGCTTCTGCTCTACAGTAGCGCTCTGTGTATGTGTCAGTCTATTTACTGTTGTCTGTCAGTCCACAAGCATTCAAAAGAATATATCAAAGTCTAAACTAATATCTATGGTGAGCAAACTGCATTACAGACGTTGTGTGCCTCCCTGCCCACACTATCTGGCAGCGGGGGATACACACGATCTGTGTGTTGTTTGTTTAGGAGCGGAGCATGCAGGGTCGGCTTTCGAGGAGCTGATTGTCATCACTGCGAGTTACTCTCGCTGCGTATGCTCCGCTCTCGCCTGGCTGTGTTTGATGAGAGCGGCCAGGCTCGCGATCCCGCTGGCAGCGGTCCCCTGTTGCCGAGGCATGGCGTAGACTGTTGTCGTGGGGATCGCAGGTGGATTTAGCGGAGGGATCCGAGACGGGCTCATCCTTTTCTCGGTCCTCACCCACTAGATCCGCGGCTCTCTCTCAGTGTTCGGAAGCTTGCGCTGCGGCAGTCTCGAATTATTCAAAAGAACATTGTGGGGCTGAATGATAAGGGATATGGGGCGACGCCAGTGGTGGAGCAGACGCTTGCGAGCTATCTCTCCCCATCCTCAGCATCATCCCCGAAGGCCCCGAAGCTTCCCACCAGGCCCGTTAGGCTTCCATCGAGTCTGGTTGGGAAAGCTTACTCGGCGGCAGGTCAGGCTGGCGCATGTTTGCACACCATGGCGGTGTTACAAGCATACCAGGCTGACCTGCTCAGGGGTGGGGCTGCTGAGCGAGAGCAGCCCAAGCTGTCAAGCTCCTCATATTGCCAGTCTCAAGAACAGAGAGTTGCAACCCGAAACCCTCCACAGAAAGATCGGGGGTCGGGGCGACGCTCTCAGTCGGGGTCTTCTAGACTCAGTGAGCTCCAACGAGCGAAAATCCCAGCTGCCGCCCGGCAACAGTATGGCACGGGAGAGCTCACCCCCTCAAGTGAGGGAGCTACAGCAGTCAGGTCGGTTGTTCCCTCAGTGCCCTCACGGAGGTTCATTGATACCCCTGCCACTCTCGGTGCTTCAGGGCTCAGTGAGCTCCAACGAGCGAAAATCCCAGCTGCCGCCCGGCAACAGTATGGCACGGGAGGGCTCGCCCCCTCAAGTGAGGGTGCTACAGTAGTCAGGTCGGTCGTTCCCTGCCGGTCATCTGCTTCAGGGCACCGAACTGGCTCCTCTAATAATACCAGAGGCCAGCCTCGAGAGATATCTCAAAATGGGTCCTGCAGATTGTAGAGTAAGGTCACAGAATTCAGTTCACTTTCGGGGGCGAAGCATACCAATATCGAGTTCTTCCCTTCGGCCTGTCACTCTCACCCCGCACTTTCACGAAGTGTGTGGATGCTGCTCTGGCTGCTCTGGAGTCACTTCTGACTCCAGGGCATCCGCATTCTCAATTACATTGACGATTGGTTAACCACTTACTGTGCTCCCCTATTTTTGAGCATTTTCTGAAAAACGACATACCCAAATAAAAATGTCTGTAGCTCTTGAACCCTATGGTCTATATTCATAAATCTGGTATTGTTTGAAACTAGACACTTGAACCTTTGTTACTCTGGAGTCATAATAACTCAAAATTAGTATAGCAACAGAGTAAAACAAGGTAAAATGTACATGAAAGTGACTTACGATATCTTTGAATGAAATTCACTAAGGGAAAAATGGATGAGGCTTTAATGCTATTGGCCTGAAAACACCATAAAGATAAAGCTGAATGTCTGACCATATTTTGATTCAAATTTGAAGATGATTTCCTCCGTGGCACCCTGAGGCTGAGGCCGGTACAGCGCACTAAGGTTCCCTCATGGGACCTGGCTGTGGTTCTGGAGGGCTTATGCAATGCCTCCTTTGAACCCATAGAAGAAGTTTCGGTCAAGTTGCTCACGCTCAAGACCATCTTTCTCCTCACAATTTCCTCACTAAAAAGGATTGGGGATATTCAGGGACTTTCTGCTTTGTGCCTGGAATTTGCTCCAGGCATGGTTAGGGCATTCCTTTACCCGAGGGCCGGGTATGTCCCTAAGGTGCCCACTTCTTCACCAGGGCCCATAATACTTCAGGCATTCTGTCCTCCTCTGTTCCAGGAAGTAGGCCAAAAAAGGCTTAATCTGCTCTGTCCAGTTCGAGCACTGGACGCTTACGCACACAGAGCTGCCCCGTGGCGTAAGGCAGATCAGATATTGGTTTGTTTTTGGTTCGCCAAAGAAAGGATCTCCGGCGACCAAGCAGACCATGAGTAGGTGGGTGGTCAAGGCCATCTC